GAGCCTGTGCCTGAGCCTGAGCCTGAGCCCGAGCCCAAGCCTGTGCCTGAGCCCGAGCCCGAGCCTGTGCCCGAGCCTGTGCCTGAGCCTGAGCCTGAGCCTGTGCCTGAGCCTGAGCCTGAGCCTGAGCCTGTCTCTTATACACATCTAGATGTGTATAAGAGACAGNCACCCTTGCGGCCCAGGCCAGCACACTCCTGCACCTACGGCTTCATGTGGCTGTTGCCTGGCGCCTGCTTGGGAGAAGTTGTGGGAGACCAAGACGGTAGATGCAAGCACGAGGAAGATGGAAGCGACTTGAGCACTAGGCAGACAGAGACTCCCATCAACTGCCCTGCCCAGGATCCGGGTCCATCCCTAGGATCACTCCTGGGAAGCCCTCCTCTGCGCCAGGCCTCAGGAGAGTGCATATGAGTGCAGTTCCCACTGGCTACAATCTCTCCACGCGCTGCACTCCCATCTCTGTGGCTTTCAAGGACAGGAGCATGGCTTTTGCTCCAGGGCAGGCAGGAAGCCAGAGGTTCCCTTTGTAAAGGTTGACCAGCCACACATGCCCACTCACCTGGCACAGAGGCAGAGTTGACAAAGCAGGGGCTCAAGAATGTCTCAAAACACCTGTTCCCACCCAAGGAACCCTTTTCTCCCACTCCAGCAGCTGAAATCAGGAGACTTGGTGTTTCAGGCTTCTTACTATATATTCCCAGAAGTGGGCTCACTGGGTCAAATGGCAGCTCCATTTTCAATCTTTTAAGGAACCTCCACACTGTTTTCCACAGTGGCTGCCCCAGTCTGCATCCCCTCCAACAGCGCACCAGGGTTCCCTTTTCTCCACACCCTCCCCAGCACTTGTTTGTTGATTTGTTGATGGAGCCATTCTGACAGGTGTGACATGATACCTCATTGTGGTTTTAATTTGTGTCTCTCTGATGATTAGTGACATTGAGCATCTTTTCATATGTCTCTTGGCCATCTGAATGTCCTCTTTGGAGAAGTGTCTATTCAGGTCCTTTGCTCATTTTTTAATTGGGTTGTCTTCCTTTTGTTGGGTTGTATGAGTTCTTTATATATTTTGGAAATTAACCCCTTATCAAACTGTCATATGACCCATGACTCCACTTCTAGGAATAATCTCTCAGAATTCCAAAACACCAATCAGAAAGAATATAGTCACCCCTATGTTAATTTTCCTCATTTTCAAAATGAAAATGAAATGAGATAATACAGGTAAGACTCTTCATACGGTGCATTGCACATGGAAAGTTCTGTAGCAGGAACATCAGGTGAGTACAGGAAAAGCATAAACAATATATATTAATTTCATATACTTTACCTTATAGGAAATAATGCATTAAGGAATCAAGCATTCAAGAAATGAAAGTGAAAGATAACCACTCTTGGGTGTATTTTTTTTTCTAGATATTTTTTCCAAGACAACACTAGCAGAATTTTTACATAAATGGGGTAATATTATGCATGCTATTTTGCAACTTTGTTATTGCAGTAAATATCTATTGGACATTTCCCTACGATTAATACAAATATCTCTCTGTCTCATTGGATTACATTTAATATAAGCTGGAGATTCACAGTTGCTGGGGATCCTGATGGCCTCCCCAGAGCGCACCTTCTCTTAGGTCCAACACACCTCGGAGGCCGAGAGTGTCCACACTGGCACGATGGCCCTCCCTGGTACACTGGACCAGAAACAGTCCCTTATTGCTGCATCAGAACTTTTTACTCTAAGACGCTGCTGTTGAGAATGTTCATAATTACACAATCTTCCTTCATGCAGACCCATGGGAGAAATAAGAAGAAAATTTACATCTCCTATGATCACACACTGTAAATATTTTTAAGAATTCCCTTCCAGCCTTTTTCCTATGTAAATATAATTTATTTTACATCTATTTAGGACCATCCTGGGAATACAGTTTTATATCCTTGGCTTTCACTTAACATTAAATTATAAATGTTTTTCCAAGTTTTATGCAAACAAGATCATGAACCCTCTGAGCTGGGAGAAACTTTAGAATCATGCATATTTTACAAGATGAGGCACCTGAGGGCTGAGTTGTTTGAGTTTCTCCAAAATATTTCAATACACACCCTAGTTATCTGCAATCCGATTAAGCTGACACAAAGCTGGAAAGGCTGGGCCTCTTGGTTGCCTTGTGTACACATCAACCAAAGCCTGTGTCCCTTCATCCCGCAGAAACTAGGCTGCCAGCAGACCTCTCCTGCCCCAGGGGTGTTCGCTGACAAGCATGTAATCCCTATCCCTCCACACCTTTCTCCTCCGGAGAGGTTCAAGACCTAGATAGGATCTGGACACCAAAGCAAACCTGTCAGGCCAGCGTGCTTCAGAGAAGAGCTACCTGTTGTGTCTTGGGCATCTAGGTGTTTTGTGGAGCTGGCATATTTGTACTGCGGAGGCGGGAGGGGCATTGCCAGAAACATACTTGCCCGGGGTGAATGCACGGCCAAGTCTGGGACATAATCCACAGCA